CTTGTGGCAAGAGAACCGTTTCTAAGGTTGTTCTGAGCCTGCATTTACTTCTGCCTGCTTGAAAGTTTCACCAGCTTTGGCTAGGACGTGGAAACAGCTGTATAAAAGGATGGAAGCAACAAAAAACATGGTTGACGAACCTCCCACCCCACTCTGTCTGAACCGGTAACTGCCCATAGCAACCCCGCATTTCGCGGACACTCCCCTTCAACGCTGAGATAAGGAATGATATTATTCTGGAAGCTCCTTTAAACAGGATTAGCTATTATAGGAAGGAGGCTGCAATCACAGGTTATTATCAGAATCCCACAATGCCAGTAATGAGGTATACAAGCGCGCAGCACATGTACCGATACCAGTACTCCGCAGCGAATAACGAACTCAGCTGTAAAGAACAACCTGATGTAAGAGGGGCAGACAAGTAGCGGATTTGGCTATGATTAGGCGTGGCTAGCCGTGCAGCAGTGCAGGCGGAATAAAGAGACGGCATTCGGGTATCGCTTCCCTCCAGCCCCGTTCCGTGCACACTGAACCGGAGAAAGTGGTGCGCCAGCTGCGAACCCATTCATCGCACCCAAGGCGAGGACCAGGATCGACTTATCTCTGTAACACCCTCGCCACGGAAGTTGACATAAAAACTAAATAAGGAAGCGAAGACAAAATCAAAAGTTGGTAAAAAACGAAAAAAATAATTCAAAATCAAAGTATGGAAACAGAACTGGACAGACCACCTACTGGATCATTCGCGGGCAAGACGTCACGCGCGATGTCGCGCCGCCGTTTGGAGGTCAGCACATGGTCGAACGACGGAACAGCCATCCCACGGAGCTAAAAGCTGAAAGATATAAAGTCAACGTGAGCTAGACGAGGAAAAAATCATAGTAATAAACCATCACATAGTAAGCAGAGAGCAAAAACGAAAATCTTCAGAAAAGATTGATGCAGGAAAAAGATCCTCTAAGGGCGGGGAAACTTATAAGGAGAACTCAAAAACTGGTAAGAGAAACGAGCGACAAGTTCCGGAGGAATACGCGAACGAGAATGTCAGTACAGTCTTGAACCTTTAAATGTCATTATGTGCCACCTCCTTCAAGTGTCACTACTAAAATAAAAGCAGTGGGTCGAAATCACTGCCGAAAAACAACGACGAAAGGTATTTTTTGGGGTCACTCCATAAAAATGTTCCCTTAGGAGTGCTTGGAAGGAACTTTAGGAAACAATATCCACTAGAGGAAGCTCAATAAAAGACCTTACTGCAGTGTTGGGACTCACAGGACTTCTACAAAAGCCACCCGGCAACAATAATACGAGTGATCGTCATCAGTGTTGTCAAGCGGGAAAAGAAGATCGAACGGCTTGAACTGAGAAAGCTAAAAAGGAATCGAAACAGAGTAACAGTCGCATAATTCCTCGCGACCTGGGTCTATTCAGTACCAGCGTTCTTCTTATTTTGAGAAACAAGCCTAGTCTATCAACGAAGCAGGGCTGATACGTGCTTCATCATGCCACCTTCGAGTGAAGAAGTTCATTGAGTTCTAGCAAGCCGTGGCAATGTATTATAAGGAAAGAAGAACAAAAAAAACTGCTAGTATGGAGCCTGACTTTGCACTGGATAAGCCCTTCAGTGCACCAGCCAACGAAGACTGGGCCCCTTTGATACGGACTGGGTTGCAGTGCGGTAATCGAATTTTGGGGAGAGCAGCGATTTTAGCGAGCCTTGTCAAAAGGAGCCCACGAAAATTAGCAAGTTTGATCGAAGTAATCTCCAAGCACTACATCATGTAATCAGCCTCCAGGACTGCCTTCTAGTAATTTTATACTATGTAATATACCAGACCTTATTTGAAGCAGAATGTTAAGGTGAGTTTAGACCGAGGAAGGACTCTACGATGGTGTCAATTACCCGTTTGCCCGACATCACTCCGACCATGAGTGATTTGCACGTCTTAAGGGCCCAAGTCTTTATGATGCACATACTTATTTGCTTCAATTTGGAAGTAAGCTCAATATTACAGCAAGCAACTGAAGGTGGTATGCAGCACGGCCAGTACTGTGGAATCCTTAGATTAGGGACAAATGTTCATGGGCAAGAATAGGGACTACATATGAATTATGCAAAAATTCACAGCTTTATCTCATTTCGTCAAAAAAATCGCTGAATGGAACCCACTCTCAGATCCAGCTGGACCACCCAGTTCTTGAGAAAAATACAACTGAGGAAAAGTACCACAACGGAAAATCAAGTGCTGCAACGGCGCCACTGGAAAAGACCTCGGGTTATCACAGCACCAAAGATAAGCCGATTCGAAGTACATCTCGATGACAGTGAAGATAACCTCTTGTTTTGGAAGAAGAGATTCTCGCCAAACATACGATAAGCCCTTGCGAAGGGCAGAAGCACAGTCACTCAAAGAACGTTCACAACCAATACTTTTCGTGCATTTAATATGTATGCATCATGGAAAACTTGATGTCGATGATCGCTAGAAATGTCTCGGATTTCAGTGAGCATGAGGCATACGGGACGAGGAGCAGAAGCGATAGAGACCCGACTGGAGGACGACTGGAGTAGCACGACAGACCTTATCACATACTGTTTCACTGGATCCATACAGGCTTAATCGTTGCTCTGAAGCGGGGTAGGGGGTGGACATGGCGCGGTCCCAGCCCGTTTTTCACCAATTGATTAAGCGGACAAGCAACAACAGCTGATAGAAAACGGGCTCGCGCCGCGCCAGATCCGTCCCCTCTGGAACACCCAGCATCCTCAGCAAAGAAAAAAAACTGCACTTAAACAAAACCTTAGCGCTGCTCAAAGTAAATCTGCTATTGTTTCTGTATTCGGAACCAGGAAGAGCCTGTGATTTCGACCC